GTCCACTATATTACTTGTTACGACATCATACACTTGCGATATAAAAAACGCAATATCAAGTCATTTCTAGGCTAAATTATCGAAAGCCTATGAATGTGGAACTTCTTTTGAATTATCCAAGGGAAAATGATGCAATAATAGAAAACTTGGCTGATGAAGACATTATTCTAGGGGTAATGGATAAAGCTAATGATGAAGATCATGATCCTGATGACACTTGTATTTTATCGTTGTTTCTTATAAAGAGGCCTTTTGAGGAGTAGTGATCTTAAACCATGCTACAAACTGAAAAAATATACCAAATGTGGTGTATGCACTCCAAAAGATTAAAGATAAGATTGAGTTCGATTTAGGCAAACTAGAAAAGCAAACGACTATAGATGCATATTTTGAGAAAGATAAGAATTAAGAAAAGAAGTTGTCAAGTTGTTTTTTTTCTTTTACAAGAATAAGTTATGAAGTTGAGAATAAGATAATCAAAAGAATTCTTAATGTCATATAAATTTTTATGTCATTTAATAAATTATTAAGTTATATATTCAATGGGACCCAAGAAGTTTAAAAAAAATTATTATCTCATGTATTTAGCGAGAATATTAATTTAGCACATTGGTCCAACTCGAGACTCAAAAATTAATTTTAATATTTAAAAGCGATTATTAATTTATGACATTAATTTATCGATGTTTTACTACATACTTGAAATGTCAAAAGTTTTCACACTTGTGCTCAACATATCCCTACCATATGTATCATGTTAATTTCAAAATATCGTATACAATAATAGCAACAAGCTAGGCTTTCTTTTTAATAAATCCCGAGTTTACAAGAATCAATTTTTGCTACTAACTATATCAACTGAAACATTCTAAGCAACATCCCATACTAACGTTGGATAAACCTCTATTCCGACTTATATGGTGAGACCACACCATTCTACTATTGAAAGAGAATTTCTTCGTTTACACAAGTCATGCCCCAACTACTGAAGTTTTCCTTTCGCTAATTTATCTTCAATTGTACCACCTCCGAGATCTGTTCTTTTTTCTGATCTTGTTCACTTTAGATGAGTATACATCAATGTTAACTTTCTTATTAACCTCGACAAACAATTGTCCTTTTAACCGCGTAGAGATCTCCATGTTCATAAAATTATTTTAGTATTTCTCCATGAATCTATCTTTTCTAATACGTACATCAACTTCAATTATTCCTTAAACAATAAATGTTGCTTCAATTTCTCTTGACTTCCTTCTCATAAACTCTGTTTAAAACAGTGTTCTATAATGCACGCATATGCTTTATAGTTCTTATATGCACACATATGTCAATGCATTTTTCGAAATGTCGTATATTCGCACTTAAACACCAAAATATGCACGAATTTGTGTTAAAAATTGTGTCCAAATTAGCCTAACGGAATCCAACCCATTTTTATAACCTTAAAAAAAGCAAATTGAGCACAATAAACATCAAATTAGCTTAAATCACCCATGTTCGTGAATTATATAAAGCAATTTGTAGGGTTTTGACATTTAGACAAATCAAAAATCAAAACAAATTTTTTGTATAGTTGCAAACTATCTACGTCAAGCCCCAACCTTTTTTAGCCAATTCTTTGCTGAAAATGCAACAATAGTAAATCTTACTCTTTGGGGAATATTGTCAAACAAGTTATATGCACTTGAAAATATAAGCTTTCTTCCACTTATGTTCTCTTGATTTAATTACATATTATGATTAGTAGATTTGATTTTTATTCTTTTTTTTTTGTGCGCGCTTCTTGATCTTTTAAAAACTTTACAGTCTATTTAAATTCCAAAGTTTGAAATAAATGTATATTGCAGAACTTGTGAATGCAATTGAAATAGGACAGCTTAGTCATTAACTCTGAAAACTCAAATAAATGGGTTTGCTTTATTATCTTTTGTCTTTAATAGCTTAAGAATTTAGCAAAAAACGTTGATTTCATTAGATTTTTCGGTGAATGTGGCCATATATCAATTTGACTGCAAAATTATTCATACAGTCGAACCCATTACGAATTAATTCAATTTCTTCATGTCTTTACATACTCAAAAGCAGTGAAAATGTGGTACTTATTTCTTAGTTTTAATTTCTTTTTCCTGTTCGATTTTCGAAGAGGTCGAACCAGAGATACGTAAAGCTAGGTAAGGGGTGGTTAGGGTTTAGGTCCTTTAGGATGTTGTGTCTATGTTTTTCGATTTATGCAGCCGTTATGTTAACTCTGCGATTTTTGTTCCTCTTTTTTCTTCTTTTAAGAGAGTGAACCTAAGATATCTAAAGTTTATTTCTTTGATGTTATTTTTGTGTATTTTTTGTTCTATTTGTTCCTTTGTTAAATGTTCTTTACTTTATTGTATATTTGATTTTTGTAGTTGTTGTGAGGAACATGTTATTTTTTGTTCAATATTTTTTTTCCCCACTGTCCTTTCATTTTTTGAACACATTGACCCAAAATACGTAAAGTCTATTTTTTAGATGTTACTTTTTGGTGTTTTTGGCTGAAATGCTTCGTGTTGTGTATATTTTTTCAGCCTCTGTAGATGTGGTGTTTAATATTTCTTTGTTCTTGTTAAATTTTTTAACAGATCTTTGTGAAAATACTATAAAGCTTCAATAAGAATTGGAGTTCTATGATCTACATTATGTTTTAGTACTCTTCTTGTGGTTTTTGATTTTTTTTCCTAGACGCATTTTTTAATTTTAATTTCCTTCGTGTGCTTTTTTGAAGCTTACGTGAATTGAAATGTATTGACTTTAGGTATGTCAGTTTCATATTTACTTTTTGTGGGGTAAATAATTAGTTCTTTTTATAGATTTTTCATAATTTGAGCGTTTCATTTTATATATATTTCACCTAACCTTTGTATTTGTTTTTGGGTGTTAGTTTCTGTAGTGTTTAATTGTATT